ATGTTTGTTCAGTGGAAGCATATGCCTCAACACACCATGCATCTGACTTACAGCAGACATTGAATAAATATATGTCGAATAAATGGGACTAATTCATGATTTTCCTATTGGGTCAGTGTTATGTGAAAAATAACAAGGTACCATCTTGAACGCAATCCATCTCAACAGATTCTCTAACATAAGACTCCTGAGAAGATCACATTCTTTATAATTTATGATGCATTTTCATATGTGATTCCTTAAAATCCCTGGCGGCATATTTCCAGAGGGTTTTAGACTCCTGTACCTTCCATATCATCTTCCTGAATTTGCCCACTTGAAATCCTCCCTGTTTGATTCTTTCTAAGTTTTGAAAGTAGTTCAGAAATCTGAAATTCTGAACCCAGTTTGCCCAAATAAATAAATAAATAAATAAATAAATAAATAAATAAATAAAATCTTGAAAATAAATCTTGTACTATTTAATAATAGCAAAATTGAACACTATAGTTCAGAAATAAATAGACAAAAGTAGTTTACTAAATCTCAAGATTAAAACCAAATCTGACTTTGTGGTCAATTAAGCAATAAAAGCTGCATGAAACTATTCAGAGTGGCCAGACAGAAATATTTCTCTATTCTGGAAACTTGTCTCTTTAAGGAAGTCTTAAATTCAGTCTTGACTATTCTCTTTGTATTTTCCTGATCTCATCTGGAAATCACATTTTAAGTGATTCGTATTTAGAAGAGCTGTATTCTTATCTCCCTGTGGAAACTGCAGGAGCCTTAGTGGTATCTAGGTTGTGCGTGACTATAGACTTAACATTTATGATTCTGTGACCAATTTAAATATGTTAAAGGTATTTTTTAGCTACTGAACTTCCGTTCTAAGACTCTTTATAGCTGAAGACAAACAGGGCACTGAATTTCAGCTTGAAGATATGTAATGTGTTTAAATGATCTTCAAGACCAACAGCAAAAAACCTGTTATGTTTCCCTTTTGAAGAAGTGAGCACTCAGGTGAGTGGGGAGAGAACATCCCACCCTGACAAACAGGAATGTTGTGGTGAGTTGTCTTCAGCAAGAGGAAGTTCCAGTACCTTCTCGCCAGGCGAATTCATTTCTGTTCTGTAGGTGGCTTACATTCCCAAATGAAAAACTATTGTTGACAGTCTTCTTCATGCTTGCTTTTGAAGTTGTTTCTTTGTTTCCAGACCTGATCACCACCCTTGAGCAAACTGTCAGGACTCAGCAAACTGGAGCAGAATCTAGTGTTCCAGTTAATTTGTTTCCAGGAAGTGAATGGCACAGCTGGGAAAGAATTGGCTCATAGTTTATTCCAATTTTGAGAAACTCTGAGACTGGGTTCTTGTTTTTCCAATTGTTTGTACTTTGGGAGAAATCATTCAACTCACCTAATTAAATAATGCTGGCTCATGCCTGTCAGGCACTGAGAAATGGAGAAACCGAGGTACATAAGCTCAGGAACTTGCCCAAAGTCCCATAGCGAACAGGTGGAAGATTTGGACCACAGGCCTAAGCGGCTTGGCGCTAGAGCCCATAATCTTGCCCAGCCTCCAAACTAGCAGAGGGAAATTAAAATACTTTCTTTACAAAGGAAGGTGAATGTGTATTCTGGTGCTCTTCTCTAGGAGAAAGACATATCTTCTTATTTTATTTTATTTATTTTTTCATGAGAGACACAGAGAGAGGCAGAGACACAGGCAGAGGGAGAAGCAAGCTCCCCGTGAGGAGCCTGATGCAGGACTTGATTCCAGGACTCTGGGATCACGCCCTGAGCCAAAGGCAAAAGCTCAACCACTGAGCCACCCAGGTGCCCCAAAAGACATATCTTCTTAAGCTTTTTTTCCAAGAAAGGGGAGGCACACCACCTTTAAGTTACAATAAAACAAAGTTACATTTTTGCTGTTGTGCATCAAAAAAAAAAAAAAAACCAAAATAGGAATATGGGTTCATCATAGGAGGCAAAGCAGTGTGTGTGTGTGTGTGTGGGGGGGGGCAAGATGGAGAAACAGGGGCTGGGAGGTTGGCTAAGGGACACTGAGAATTAGAATGGTTTCCCCCCAGTTGCTCAGTTAAGGGTCTTACAATCACTGTAGGATTTTGGAAATCAAGTTTACTTAAATTTCAAAGGCTGAGTAATATCCTATGACGTCTAGGTTATGCTTATAAATGTCTAATATAGCTCTAATACTCAACATGTATTCCACAGAAAGCTGTGCTTTTAGACATTCCATTGGTTTAAAATAGGATTATTTTTATAATCCTTGTCCTCTCCTATGGATCAATATTTCTTTTGAAAATCAAAGAGAAAGTAACTGCCCATAAGCAGATCTGAGTGCAGTTTCAGATGCTCCCCAGATTACAATGTCACAGTCATTTATGCTGCAGAACTGAGAACAGATGCAAGGAAACGAAATAAGCCTGATCAGCAGTTGGGAGTCCACTAAGTGCAATGCTGCATTGCTCCTATAAATCAGGGATCCTAAAGTACAGTTAACACGTAATACAATTCACTACTTTTACACGGTCTTAAATACACTCAGTAGTGTCTCCACCACCATGATCATGACACAGAACATCTCCATGCCTTGCATCCCTTTGTGTTTATCTCTTCACTGGCAAGCAGTGATCTGCTTTCTACCATTTTACTTTTGGCTTTTCCAATTTTTGATATAAAGGGAGTCATGTGATGTGTAGTCTTCTGTGTCTGGCTTCTTTCACTTACCAAATGCTTTAAAGAGTCTTCTATGTTGTTGCACGTGTAGTTTTCTGCCGTCTGGATGAATGCACCACACTTTATACATTTACTGATTGATAGACATTCAGGTGGTTTCCAGCCTCAGCTGCCATAAATAAAGTGATCATGAATGTTTATATACAACCATTTGCATGAGCACATCCTCATTTTTCTCTGGTATTTAGGAGTGGGATCATAGGTCACATGGTAAGCAAATGTTTAATATTTAAGGATTAGCCCAACTGTTTTCCAAAGGAGCTACATGATTTTTAATTCTCACTACAAGAGAGTTCCAGTTACTACCTCTTCTCAGCATTTGGTGTTTTCATTTGAACCTTTCTGTTGGGTATGGTATGTAGTGCTGTGGAGCATTTCTTTCTGTGTTTGTCACTCAGATAGGAAATATTCTGGCCATTAAAAAAAATTAAGCTGTTTGTCATCATCTTTTTGGGTTATAAAAATTCTTTCTGTATTCAGGATACAAGTCTTTTATCAGAAATATGTTTTGTTTTTTTTTAATTTTTATTTATTTATGATAGGCACACAGTGAGAGAGAGAGAGGCAGAGACACAGGCAGAGGGAGAAGCAGGCTCCATGCACCAGGAGCCCGATGTGGGATTCGATCCCGGGTCTCCAGGATCGCGCCCTGGGCCAAAGGCAGGTGCTAAACCGCTGCGCCACCCAGGGATCCTAGAAATATGTTTTGAAAATACTTTCTCCCCATGTGTGGCTTGACTTTTCATTATTTTAATATTTTTTGGAAGAGCAAATGTTTTCAGTATTGGTGAAATTTAATTAATCAGTGTTTTATGGTTCATGCCTTTTATGTCCTTTCTCAAAATCTCTGCTTAATTTAAGGCCACAAAATTTTTAAAAATATTTTCTTTTAGAGGTTTCATGTTTTTGATCCTTCTACTTGAGGTCTAAGCCTCATTTTGAGTTAATTTTTGTGAAACATGTGAGGTTCTTTGTGTGTGTGTATATGGATATTTTATTATTTCAGCATTAATTTTCATAAAGACTAACCTACAATCTACTATACTCTAGGTATTAAGCTGTACTTAAAATTTACTTTCTATTTCAAAAAAGCAATAACTCTTTTCTATATCCTTTTTAATAGGAATCTGGGAACAGTGAACTTAAGGTGTGGAATGTGATTATAGATTTTTTATGTATATGTTCCTGAGATGTTTTATGTATATTTTCCATCAGCTGACACCCGTTTAATCTATCACCTCATCAGAATCAAGTTCCATTGACAACCTCCCATGTTTTGGGTCAGCAAAGTCATGAAGAGCTTACCAAGGTTTTAGATTTGATGGTGGAAGTTACAATCTAACCATTAAGAGTTTATAAACTCAACAAATAAACTCGGTGTAACAAAGAGGACAGGAACTTTTTACTATAGGTTTCAGCTCAGGTGACTCAAATATTTCAAACACAGGGAGGAAAAGTCTTCATTTCTTGTATATGAGATCATTGTATAAAATCTGATCTTAAACTCTCTAAGGATGGTTAAATGCACTGGTCTATGCTTGGGAGATTGGAGGGACCCTACTTTCCTCCTCCTCCTGGTTTCCTAACTGTTGGGGGAGCACCTGTTGTGTAACACCTGTTGCATCTCCCTAGACTCTCACTCCTCTTCGGCAGGTGAGATAAATTCCTTGATTGGTCAATTTGGGAGCAGAAAATGGGTAGCTCCACCCTCTTTCTCTCTTTTTGGGCTCCATGCTGCCTATAGAAAGTTCACATTCTTTGTGGACACCTGGTTCTTTCCAGTTCTTCCCATGACTGTGTGTAAGTATGTCTTATTCTAGAATATGATATTAGGAAACTAGCTTGCCCACAGGTACATTCCATAATATAACTTTTATCAGTAGAAAGGTGGCATTTTGCTCTCCCAAGTATTCATTATTTCTCAGTGGGTTCAGAGCATGAGGGATGCAGTTTATTGAGTCTCTCCCACTGCAAAAGTCCAGACAAAATAGGATGCTACCGAGTGGTTTAATGAATGCCTGCAGTATTTAGTTGTTATAAGACACATGACTTACTTCTTCAAGTTCACAAAGCATAAAACAGGGTTAAAGTATAGCAAGAGTTTTGCTTGTATATCATAACTTCCTGTAAAAAGAATCAGATAGCTCAGTATATCCATGGATTCTTTTTCCAAAGATAATCTAGAACCAGGACTGGCAGTTTATGTGTAAGAATAGTTCTATTACATTTTGAAGCAGAGTTCAGATTAAAAGACCTCTGGGGGTTTACTTTCAGTCTATGAATTTTATTGATAACTATAGATTTTTTTCAGCACATGAACAATATTGAAAATAAGCAAATTTAAATTCTTATGATAAAATGTCTCTACTCCTCCTGAATGGACTTCATCACTGATACTAAAATCAGATGATACGTTTAATGGTTCTTTACACCGAAACCAGGTATTAATTTTCATTATTCTGGTGATGTTCTTTGCCTTAAGGTCATATTCAAATTGCTTTGATCCACGGAAGAAATAGAAGAATCCTAGAGAAAGAGAATCACCATTAATTAACTTGCACAACTCTATCATGATTCCACACTTGTTAATTGTATGCATATAGAATAACATAATTGAACATTATGGAGAGAAGAGAAACTTGTGTGTTATCTACATACATTTACTACTGTCACATGAGAAATATTGTTATTTTTATTTCCCCAAAGAAGAAGCCACAGTGTGACCATGAATGTCAAGGGGCTTACCACCTTCTAGCCAGACTGTGGTTCAGGCCAGAGGCTCTCAAACTAGGTTTCAAAACAGTGTCTTAGCAAGGGGGAGAAGCAGCCCTGGGGGTGGGCTCTACATCCTCATGTTCCTCACATTGTTCTGCTCTGTGTGCTTCAGGTGTTAAGGTTTTGTGTGAGATTTCACCGCCCTGAAAGATGGTGTCATGCAGAAAGCTTCTTAGACTCCTGCTTCTTCCACGTCCTGGGTTGTCATCCGTGGTCCAAGTCTGAAGATGCGGTAGTTGCGTTGGTTCATTAAACTGCCTGAGATTCCTCTGAAGTGGAGATTCCTGTTTCTTACCCACAATATGACATCTGCCTCAGAAACTCTGAAGAATTTGTAATTTCTCACACAATCCCCAAGTGCAGAGTAAGCTACACACATAATAGTTGGCGAGTCACTCTCCAGTTCATGTGCTTGGTCAGTTTTCACACTTTTAGGGGCTCTCTTGGATCAATGATAAGCAAAATTAATTTTGGTACTTTTTGCACATACTTGAAATGGTATAACAGAATAAATAATTCAGGACTTACTAATTCAGTTTGTGAGAATGCCTGCCTGGCTAGAGTATATTATTACAGGTACTTGAGAATAGTAGAATCACATGAAAATGGAAGCATTTATATTTCTGTGCTGTGTTCTTTCCTGACCAGGAAAGTCTTGCAAGTATCCTACAGGGTTAGCATTGATGCTCACCTTTATGCTGGAAAGCAGCATCGACTCGGAGACCAACTCCCGGGAAGTACTTCACCACCCTCCGCGGGTACCCTTTGTCCATGGTTTGGGTCACTTCATCATACCTGGATGCAGGGATTGGAAAAGTTCCCAAGGGATCTTTGTTTTGGGGAAGCTTAATCCTTCCACTGCCCCACTTGGAGTCAAATAGGGATGTGGAGAAAAAGTAGCCCTAGTAGAAGAAAACTAATTTGATCAATAATCAAAAACAGGAGCACCTGGGTGGCTGTCCATTAAGTGTCTGTATTTGGCTCAGGTCATGATCTCAGGGTCCTGGAATGGAGTCCCACATCGGGCTCCCTGCTCAATGGGGAGTCTGCTTCTCCCTCTGCCTCTCCCTGCTTGTATTCTCTCTCTCTCTCTCTCTCTCTCAAATAAATAAATTGTTTTAAAAATAATGAAAAACATGTCAAAGTTTATGTTTGGCTGAAATATTTGTAGGATCTTGAAAATAAGAAATGATGAGGGGAAAAAGCCACATCATTAGACTGATGCTATTCTGAGGGAGTATCAAATCAGAGTACGGGCTCACAAAACATACCCTATAAACTACAGAGAACACACTGCTGGTCACCAGAGGGGAGGTGGGTGGGGGGTAGGAGGAACAGGGGATGGGGATGAAGACATGTACCTGTCCTTATAAGCACAGGGCGATGTAAGGAAGTGTTGAGTCACTACATTGTACACCTGAAACTAACATTGCACTGTATGATAGGCACACTGAAATTAAAAAAAAAAAACAAAGTAAGAGTTCAGCTTGGAGCTTTCGCAGATTTTGAACAGATATGTTTGTGTAATTAGCAATTTGGTTGGCATCATCAGCTTTATTATTTTATCTTATCTGTATGTTGGAGAAAGGTCTTTGGACTCCCTGAAACATTCTTTTGTTTGGTGCATGTCATCTACCCAAATTGGGCTTCAACATAATTGACTTTAAGAGGACTATATGTTAATTCTATTTCTGTCCATGTTAAAGTGATGCAGAATATAGTGAAGAGGTTGATTGTCTGCAAACTTACCTCCAGCACCAAATGCCCACAAAGAAGTAGGTTTTTCTAGTGCTCTGGTCACAGACAGCTGCATCAATTTTCTTCACGCTTCTTGGAAAGCCAAGTGTACGGATGGGTTTGGGAAAATCTGGCAAGACAGCATATCCTCTGATCATCCAGAAGTTGTCATCTAAGAAGAGAAAAAGTGATTATCTTCTGATCTATTTCCTAGAGGGAAAAAGAGATGTCTTAAGAAATTTGAAAATAGATAACCTCATCTCTCAGGACTTAGTAATCTAATGTCCCCATTTATTCTTACTGCCTTCTTTAACTGGTTTTATCATTACAATGACACCAACAACATACACTGTAATAGTGAGCATGCTCACTAGTGTGCATGTCAATTGGTTTCAGTGGATTGATTATTTCTCTAACTCTGACAAAATAGTCAACTATGTTTGTAAATGTTCTCCTAGATTTCAGCCCCCAAGTATTCTCTCTCTTTTTTTAAAAGATTTTATTTATTTATTCATGAGACACACACACACACACACACACACACACACAGAGGCAGACACAGGCAGAGGGAGAAGCAGGCTCCATGCAGAGAGCCCGATGTGGGACTTGATCCCAGGACTCCAGGATCACGTCCTGGGCCGAAGGCAGGAGCTAAACCACTGAGCCACCCAGGGATCCCCCAGCCCCCAAGTATTCTCAAAGGCAAGTAATGTGATGAAATCCATATAAAAAGTAGTATTGCCAAGTTAAAGATTCCGGTTAAATTTGAATTTCAAATAAATAATGACTATTTTTTGGTATAAGTATATTTAAAATATTTCAAGGAACATACTTATGCTAAAATTATGCATTTTATCTGAAATTTAAGGCATTTTGTATTTTTATTTGTTGAATCAACCCTAGTAAAAAGAGAATATAAAAGACAGATGGGTTCCCTTTAATTGGCAGAAAAAAGATAGTTTTTTAGTTTTTACCATACAGGTTTCTTTTAGCTCCCATGCAGTTGGAATGATATTTGTCTTCACAGCTAAAGAATCCCTGGATACTTTTTCCTTATGATAGGAACCCACAGTCAGGGCAGAAGCACTCTCCATCGGGCCCACGCATGAATATTATGTTCCTTGCCCCAAAATACTCACCAACCAATTTAGACATCCAGAGACAGAAGAGAAATCGTGATGGAAAAAAAATTACCTTTAAACACTAGCATCTTATCTTTGGGGTTCTCATATGCAGCTTGAATATCGGCTGGCAGAGAGGGCCAGAATGAAGAGATCAGTTCAAATTCAACATCAGTGATGTCGTAATAGATCCTCCATACGTGTCTGTGTGAAACAAAAGACACTTTCACAAACAGCCTATATTGCAGTGAAAACACTGTAAACCTTGCCTTTTGTTTAGTTGATTAGCAGTCTCCTCAAATAATTTAGAACATTCACACAAGTTTCCTCAGCAAATTTACATGGTTGTGAGTCCAGTCCTACCCTTTGGACTACCAAGGTCAGGACATGCCTTTGTGTCCACCCTCCTGCGAACTTAGAGTAGCAACCTACCCATAGCTGAGTGCACAGTGGCCTCATTTTGGCCAAATCAGCAATACTCAAAATTCCAAGGCAACACATCTAAGAAAAACTTTTTGAGCTGATGTTTGCTAGAATAAAGTTATCATTGCATGCTAACATATTTTCTCAGATTTCCCTCTCTGGATGTAAAGTTCTGAGTCTATGAATGAGACCCGAAAAGTCCTTCTTTTCCATTTCCTTTCCATGCTTACAACCCCACTCTGATGTCCCTGATAAGTAGCCTCAGCCTCTGCTGTGTGGAGCATGGCAGTGATAGCATGATATCACTTGATATCAAGTGATACTTGATATCCTGCAAGTGCTGGATAGACTGTGGGTGGAAGGAGACTGATTTCAAATATCCTTTTCTCGTGCCCCATATGCTTGTGAGATGGTCTATGTCCCAATACTTTTTCTGAAAATATAGTATGGTATACTCAACTGACACATCATGTTGCAACCTAAGTCCAGTAAGTTATACACGGTGGAGAAGAGAGTTCCCACCACAGCTAACACTTTGTTGATGCAATGTTATGGAATGGCCTGCTCATACATGTTTAACAACTGGCTCTGTAGGTAGGAAAAAGACCTAATTTTTATCATTTGCTGATTTTCCAGGGTGTAAATACTCCAACCATGGCCAGTTTCAAGCTACAGAAGTGTTGTGAAGTGGTTTACAAAATTCCCCAGAATTTAACAGTTTGTTCCTGAAATGGTATAGGTCAGATCCAGCACCACTGGGATTGGTGTGTTATTCTAGCAAAGAAGTCACTGAAAGTGACTCTACTCACCTTTTATCCAATAGCAGTTAAAAAATTTGCTTAAGAACATTTAAAACTTAATTTATCAAACGAGAAAGAGATATATACACATAGTAAAATTTCAAGGAGTGTGGGCAGTTATAAAATGAAAATGAGATGGAACACATTCTCACTATCCCTGTGAATTTCCTCCCTATTTATCTCCAGATATCTTGAAGAGAAGAATATTCATAGGAAGTTGAGGTGTTTAAGGGAATGGGTTTACCTGCCTTTAAAGAACATTACTTCTCTGCGGAAAGTGGTGATAGCATCAAAAGTCAAATCAGGGTCACAGGCATGGAGTATAGTGGATTCCTTTGGCTTAGCAGATGCCTTAGGTAGACTCCCTTTGATGAGAAAAGAAATATCACAGTGAATTAAGAAGGCATGTGGAAATACCTACAGAAGGATCTTACCCAAGAGGATATTTTCTTCATGGTGCTATTTCAAGAAATTTTTTTCACTTCCTTTCTGGAAAGTTTCCTATTTTGTTCACATATATTCAGATTTATGATGTTGCTTACCATAGATAGATTGGATTCCATTAATATCGTCCTGAGAAAGTGGGTATTTGTTAGGATCCAGGGAGACATAATTTGGAAACATCAAAGCTGTTTGATCATTGGAGTGAGAGAGTCCCAGTGCATGACCAAATTCATGAGCAGCCACGAGAAATAAGTTGAATCCTTAACAAAAACAGGAAAAATAGGGGTATGTTGGTCAATCAAAAGGAGAACAGTTGCATCTGAGATTAGAAGTAACTAAGGGGTCAGATGGAAAGTCTTGCTATACAGTGGGTAATTCTTCTATGCACCATCATTTATCTGGGAAATATTTCAACACTAGTAATAGGCATTAGTCATATCATGAAAAACTATGATCCAGATCAAGCAAATGGCAGGAAAGAGGTGTGTGAGAAATGGATATTATTAAAAAAAATAGAAACCAGTTTTTGGTTGTTGCTGGGCTGTACTGTACATGATCATGTCTCTCCTACTTGTATCCTTCAGAAGTTCTCCACTGGCTGTAGGATCAAGTCCAAACACCTTACTTACTATAGCCCTCCATGATCTAGTCCCTGCCTTTTTCCAGACTCATGTTTTATTTTCATATTTCATGAACCAACCTTTCTAAATCATTTGCATGTCTCATCTGTGCCATGTTCCTTCTAATCTCTATGTCTTACTACCTCCATACTATTTACCCAGAATATTATCTCTCCCACCCCCTGTTTGCTGAGCTCTCCTTCTTGTTGCTCAGGAAATCCTTCTAGAATCATCTCCTTATTGAGGCCTCTCTTACCCCCACTTTCACCCAATTCCTATCCTCACTGAGTTAAATTCCTTTCTGCATTTCCATAGTCTCAGTGTTTAATTCTGTCGTAGCACATAAAAGACGGCACTGACTATTTCTTTTATGAAGTGATGCATCTTTTCAGGGACTGTGTCTTAGCCACCTTTTATTTCTGGTGACCACTGAACGGTCTATCAGTAGTGGGGGCTTAAAAATGGTTGCTGGAGCTTTTCCGCAATGGGTTTCCTGCCAGAACACAGGAGTGAAAACCACCGCTAGCCCTAAACCAAAATGGGAAAGGAAAAGACTCACATCAACAGCATCGTCATTGGACACGTAGATTCGGGCAAGTCTACCACTACCGGCCATCTGATCTACAAATGTGGTGGGATCAACAAAAGAACTATTGAAAAATTTGAGAAGGAGGCTGCTGAGATGGGAAAAGGCTCCTTCAAGTATGCCTGGGTCCTGGATAAACTGAAAGCTGAATGTAAACTGGTATCACCATTGATATCTCCCTGTGGAAATTCAAGACCAGCAAGTATTATGTGACCATCACTGATGTCCCAGGACACAGAGGTTTTATCAAAAACATGATTACAGGCACATCTCAGGCTGACTGTGCTGTCCTGATTGTTGCTGCTGGTGTTGGTGAATTTGAAGCAGGTATCTCCAAGAATGGGCAGACCCGGGAGCATGCCCTTCTGGCTTACACACTGGGTGTAAAAAAACTAATTGTTGGTGTTAACAAAATGGATTCCACTGAACCACCCTACAGCCAGAATAGATACAAGGAAATCGTTAAGGAAGTCAGCACCTATATTAAGAAAATTGGCTACAACCCCGACACAGTAGCATATGTGCCAATTTCTGGTTGGAATGGTGACAACATTCTGGAGCCAAGTGCTAACGTGCCTTGGTTCAAGGGATGGAAAGTCACCCGTAAAGCTGGGAATGCCAGTGGAACCACACTGCTTGAAGTTCTGGATTGCATTCTGCCACCAACTCGTCCAACTGATAAGCCCTTGCGTCTGCCTCTCCAGGACGTCTACAAAATTGGTGGTATTGGTACTGTCCCAGTGGATCGAGTGGAGACTGGTGTTCTTAAGCCTGGCATGATGGTCACCTTTGCCACAGTCAATGTTACACCTGAAGTAAAGTCTGTTGAAATGCACCATGACATGGCTTTGAGTGAGGCTCTTCCTGGGGACAATGTGGGCTTCAATGTCAGGAACATATCTGTCAAAGATGTTCATCGTGGCAACGTGTCTGGTGACAGCAAAAATGACCCACCAATGGAAGCAGCTGGCTTCACGGCTCAGGTGAGTATCCTGAACCATCCAGGCCAAATCAGTGCTGGATACGCACCTGTGCTGGATTGTCACAGCTCATGGCTTGCAAGCTTGCTGAACTGAAGGAGAAGATAGATCGTCGTTCTGGAAAAAAGCTGGAAGATGGTCCCAAGTTCTTGAAATCTAGGGATGCTGCCATTGCTGATATGGTTCCTGGCAAACCTATGTGTGTTGAGAGCTTCTCTGACTATCCTCCTCTGGGCCGTTTTGCTGTTCGTGATGTGAGACAGACGGTTGCTGTGGGTGTCATCAAAGCAGTGGACCGGAAGGCAGCTGGAGCTGGCAAAGTCACCAAGTCTGCCCAGAAAGCTCAGAAGGCTAAATGAATATTATCCCCAATACCTGCCACCCCAGTCTTAATCAGTGGTGGAAGAACGGTCTCAGAACTGTGTGTCAATTGGCCATTTAAGTTTAATAGTAAAGCCTGGTTAATGATAACAATGCATCGTAAAACCTTCAGAAGGAAAGGAGAATGTTTTGTGGACCACTTATTGTTGTTGTTGTTTTTGTGCCTGTGTGGCAGTTTTAAGTTTAGTTTTTAAAGTCAGTACTTTTTAATGGAAACAACTTGACCAAAAATCTGTCACAGAATTTTGAGGCCCATTAAAACAAAAGTTTAATGAGAAAAAAAAATGGTTGCTGGATATCCAGGTGTTTGTTTGGATGAAAGACTGGTTAGATGCACCTTCTACACAAGGCATAGTCCCCTGAACTTACCCATGTTAGAAGTCTCATCATGCATGGTGAAAGTGCCTTTTTGAAGATGTGGTCTATATATACTATAGAATATTACTCAGCCATCAGAAAGGACGAATACACACCATTTGCTTCAACATAGATGGTACTGGAGGGTATTATGCTGAGTGAAATAAGTCAATTGGAGGACAATGGTTTCACTCATATATGGAATATAAAATAATGAAAGGGACTATAAGGGAAAGGAGGGAAACTGAGTGGGGAAAAATCAGAGAGGAAGACAGACCATGAGATACTCCTAACTCTGGAAGGAAAACAAACAAAAGGTTGCAGAAGGGGAGGTGGTTTGGGGCTGGGGTAACTGGGTGATAGGCACTAAGGAAGGCATGTGCTGTGATTAACACTGGGTGTTATACTATATGGTGGCAAATTGAATTTAAATAAGATTTAAAAATAAAATAAACGAATAAATCTTTAAAAAATTAAAAATTTAAAAAATAAATAAAAAATAAAAAAGTTCCTCCAAACTAATTAAATAAAAGCAATTACAATTTTGTATAATTAAATAAAAAAAAGAAAGTACCTTTTTATCTCTCTGTCTCTCCCACTAGTCTTTAGGTTTCTAAATAGAAAAGTCTGTCCCAGGATTTGTAGTGGAATTTATAGATCCTATGGAAAAGGCTGAGCCCCCTGTGATGAAGCCTTGTCCAATGATGTTTGCACAAAAAAAAAAAAAAAAAAAAACATGGAATGGCCTTTCAGGCTTTTCTGTTCTGGTCTTTGCTCATGCCTTTGTCTGGCGGGCAGTATCACGGGGTGTGCTTTTGGACAAGAAGGGAAAAGTGACTCTTTGAAAAGATAATTCAAACTCCGTTCATCTCAATGACTTCTAACCTTTATGTTAGCATTTCAGACCCTATGTGGTCTGGCTCCTATTCACCATTTCCACCAAAATCCTGCTACTCGAGTTGTTTGGGTTATTCTATCCAGAACATTCTCTACTCCACTTTATTTTCTGAGTTCCTGCTTAGCCTTTGGCTCAGGTTTGGTATCACTTTCTCCCCTGACCTCTGTATTTGGATTAAATTTCTTGCTTTACTACATTGCTATAGTTTCCTTTATCCACTGTTGGTCTACTGATTTTAATTGCCATTTGAGAGTGTGTATCTCCTAGACTGTAAACTCCTCAAGGGCAAGATCTGTGTCTTGCACACTATTGTGTACTCTATTTGTATCACAGAGCCTGGGTCATGGTGGATGCTGAGTAAAGGATTTTTGATTGACTTCATTTGCCAAAATTATAGAGCATCTATCGTGCTGATTTGCAGAAACTACGAAACTGACCCACAGGCTATCTGGAGTTACTTAGTCAGAACTGAACTGTGATCTTATATATCACCTATCAGGAGAGCCATAATCTCTGCTTTTCTGGGACCCCGGAAACCAGACACCAGACCCAAAGTGACTGTTGTCAAGGACAGTAAATGGAGTGCGGAGAACCTGAGAGTCTACTGAGCTTGCTCCTTTGTTGGATGCACATACTTTTACAGTAGTAAAGTTTTGGTTTTTGTTTGAAAAGTAATAAACTCCTTCCTATTTTAGTGCAGGCAGGCATAGTAAAAGAAATAAGATCAACTCAGTTGGTCTGAAGGAATAGGTTGGATAAAGATTATCCAAGTATTGGAAGTGGAGTATTGGGCAAGTATTGGAAGTGGAGGTTCATGCCTTTAAATAAACCTTCAATGGGTATGAGCCCACATACCACCCTTCATTCACTAACTCAGAATTACCACCTCCCTAGAGTCTTCTTCAATTCTGAAGCCACAGAACACTTTTACCATTGGTACAACACATAGCACACTTTGCCTTGTAGGGTGTGTGGTGTGGTCTGGGCTTCACATCACACAAGATCGTGAAGGGTTAGAACTTTTCTAGTACAAGTCTGTGGTCTGTCCAATGCCTTGCACAGTTCCAGGCACATGGTGGACCTTCAGGCATTGTGGGTGTATGAATGAATGCTCAGATCATAGAAGGATTAGCACCTTCATGAGGGTATTGTGTGGTTAAGGCTCTGACCTGTACAAGTGCAATTATCTGAATAGATTGAACACTTTCATCAATGTCATCTTGGAATATGGCAAACTGTGGGGAAATTGGGAGATGAAAAGCAACTCATTGCAAAGCTATTTCAGGGATTTCTTAGAATAATAAAAATTTTTCATGAAGAAAACTGGGCTCACCTGCTCCATCCTTGGTCCAATTTTCATCTTCGTCGAAGTGAGTGTCTCCACCCAAACCCAGACCAGGAGGAAAGGCATGGCCGAGGACTCCCAAGGGGCCATCAAAATAACGAGGACACCAGCCGTGGACTGAGATACAGTTCACAGGAGGGAAAAGGTCAGCCTCTTCACATCTCCTGAGATGGAAATAGCTGTTCTTTTATCTCTGCTGGAAATCTTACCTCGGGTCCTAAAGGCAATCATGATGTCTGCAATCCCCTTGGAAATCTTGGTGAATGTCAGCGGAGTAACTCCACTCCACACTTCTAGGCCATTCTGGATAGCCTTGTCCACATCCACTCGTGCCATATCTGGAGTATAGTTTACAATTCTTAAAAAAATTAAAAAAACAGATCACTTGGGGGTTACACATGCATGTAGGCACACAGACAAAAAGAAGATGGTTTCTTATCAATTGTGTGCTGCAGTAACTTCTAGTATCCTACTATTCTTGCATTGGTATAATACCTTATGATTTCAATCAAGCACTTTTACATGTTCTGTATGATCCAATCCTGCATCTGCCCTCCTGATCAGGTAGTATAATCCCCTCGCTTTAACAAATGGGAATCAAAGAGGTTCAGTGACTTTCCTAAGATCATATTCTGAGTGGGAGAGCATTAATCGCATGTACATGCTTGCTGTGTACGTGAATGTATTATCAATGCATCCTCGATAGAATGGAGATCTGCTTTCTCAGATGGCTTGTGGAAATCAGTCTTACACATGCATCATGTATTAAGAGTCTCTCTTGAGAGCCTTAAAGAGTTAGTTACTCAGGAAAAGATTTTCCTCTGGTTTATATTCCCTATCTTGCTGAAGCTATTTTTAATTCCTAAGACTCAATAAAGTGAAGGAAGAGCTATGAGAAGTACCCTTCGGTGTCTGCCAGTAGGGCTTGGGAGCAACAGTCAAGGCCACCGACTCAGGCCGGAAGCACACATCATCGTCTTTCTGCCAATGAACCTTTCCTTGAGATGCCTGGGAGCAAAGGCCCCAGTTCACCCCCGGGTCCATCTGAAATTTGATGACTCTGACCCACAAGTGTTGCTAACATGAACTGGTTGTACTCGAGCATACTCCAGCCATATCTTCAGCCATCTGCCTGTGCTGCCCTCTGACAGTGCTTCTGGTCTTGAATATATATGCAAGTGGCAGAGGCTAGAGATTAAAGCATATCGGCCAGAGCCAGTCTGCTGGTAAGACTGGATAGAATAAATGAGATCTGTGAAGGGCCATGCACCAGGGAAGTGCTCTATAAAATAAACTATTATTATTGTTCCTTGGAGATCATGTTCCTGTGTTTGGGATGAGGGGGAAATAAGTGTGCAGAAGCATTACCTGTACGTGAGGTTGTATTTTCTCCACCCTGGAAGGGTGTAGCCATACTGACCCACATCAGGGACTCCACACCTGGGTGTCTTCATGATCTCAAGAGTGTTTGAGTCCAGTTGTCCAGTCACTGTCAATCCAAAAAATGCTTGCATTTCCCGAATTTTGCCAACTAAGAGACTCTTGTTCTTGCTTTGAGCAAGATGACTCCCTTCTATTTCAAGAGAGTAGAACTGGTTGAGATACGCCTGACCAAAAAGACAAAAAAGGGTACAGACTACAGGACAACAAATCTGTATCTCAGGACAAAACAAAATCGCCTGAAATGTTTTTTGGCAGTGTGTGTGTGTGTGGGAGGGGGTGGAGAAAGAAGTCAGGAGTCAGGGGAGGGAAGGAGTGAGGAGGAAAGAAGAAAGGAAGAGTCATCCTGCCTTTTCATTTCCAGGAAGCAGCTGAGCTATGTGACCAAAATTATCTACACCACACAGCCCATAAAACTCCAAACTTTTACAGAAGACAATAAAAAAAAAAAAAGAAGACAATCAGCTGCTTCTACGTGTTATAGATCACATATCTCACACATTTTTGCTGCTACTTTCATTTTGATGTTTCCTTGAAACAAATTCTAGAAGAGATGTGTGTTTTTTTTTTTATTTTAACCAAATACGGCAAATTCACTGGACTGATTTTTAGAAGAAATCTCTAAAGCAAAGTATTTCTCACGCATGTAGGAGTAAGAGGATCTAAGGTTGTAGCTAGGACCTCCTGGCTGGTACAGAAATTCTCAAATGATTTAGAAATGTTTAGAAATATAGAAATGGAGAGATCCCCATTTCTCCCAGGGATGTCCCCTTTCTCCTGCCTCTGCCTTCACTCGGACCCATTGCTTGAAGTGGCAGCAAGTCCTCCGTTTCCACCCCACCCACCCTCCACCCCACACTCGGTTACTTGGTGTCCTCAGAGCTAAGGGTAAGTACAGGAATCTTTTGTAGGAATTTGTTGCCATTTTAGGTTCCAAGGCAATCAGTAAAATTAATTTTCATTGATCGTCATTATTAACATGTATTGAGACAGTACCTGTGCCAGTTGCATGTTTTCTTCAGTGTCCATCTTTTGTTCTGTAGGAAATGCAGATGAAAACGTTATAAAAAGAAAAAATTGAAGCAGAAGGCTCTTCATTCCTCTCTCTTTTCTGTCGAAGCCTGTTTCTGTTTCCACAGAATTTAGAAAACAAGAGCAAGACGTGGCATGAATTGGCTTGTATCATCATTTAATTAATAACAGAAAAGAACATTTGCCATGAAGTGTGTCATGATATGCTTTTTTCCCCTTAGGTTAACTTGATTTTGCAATCATGATCTGTAGTGTTTGAATAAACACAATCACTGTTCATTATTGAACTGAATATATAATAGGAAGTCAGCCTCCAAGTTACTGCTGTCCTTGCAAAGTTGGAGGTTTTCTTATTTTTGAAATTCTTGAGAGTTTATAAAGTGATTTTTTTAAATGAAACTCCAGAATATCTTGGATAGAAGGGTATCACAAAAAGACAATTGAATCAGGAGTCATTTGGGGTTACCCAAATTACCCCAATATAAACATCCCATGTTTGTTGGGCATCTGCTATTCGCCTGTCACCATAAATTGAAGCATGAATAAGATGCCATTCCAATCTTGTTGGGGAATTCAAACTTGTACAGAAATTAATGCCAAACAAAACCAAGGCAAGTGGCAAAATGTACACTGAGGATTCCAGAGTGTGAGAAGAGCCAAAGCTGATGGGATGCCTCGGTAGCTTCAGCCAGGTGGGGCTTCCTCTGGGTCTTGAAGAATAGGTAGGATTTGGATAGCACAGAGGGTGTGGGAGGGAGGGCACAGGAAGCAGTTAGCCCAGCAGAAATGAACTGCTGTGGATATGGCCAACTAGAGCACATGTACATGTACACAGCTGAGGGAGATGGGAACGGACACTCTGAAGGGTGCGAGGAAAATGAATGTTTTGGATATTTTCATGCCTAAGAATGTCCTTATTCCATCCCGGCACCTGATTGAGAGTGTGTCTCTAGAATGTCAGACTGATATAAATTTTCTTTAGAACGTTAGACGTTAGAGGCCCCCTTCCATTGTTTTCTAGAATCTAGTTGCTGGGAAGTCTTTTTTTTTTTTTTTTTTTGAAAATGAAAGTCCTTTTTATCACTGTTAGTTCTGAGCTGCAGGACATTTCTTCAAAATGTGGGCGCAGTAGGATATTCTCTCAAGAGCAGGCACAGTTGGGCTTTTTCTCACCCCCATTAGTTGGGTTTCCCTTCTGGTAGAGGCCAGCCCTAACAACTGCAGGCCTTCCCGACACTGCAGACCATTGGCTGTATAGCCCAGCTCCCTCAGAATAGAGAAGCCCAGAAACAGCTGAGCAGACCAGGTCTCCTTCCCTTCCCCAAACAGGCCACTTCCCATCTCAGGCAGATGAGAATGTGTTGGCATCTAATTCACATACCTAACGTTCACTCTTCAAGTGAGTACAGTCCATCGGTTTTTAGTGTTCTCTGACTTGTTGCTGGGAAGTCTTTAATTCTGATTCTTGATATGTTTTCTTCTGAAAAATGCTGGAAATATTCTCTTTATGCAGATATTCTGAAATTTTGTAATGGTGTATATTGATGTGATGTTCTTTTCTTTTTTCTTTTTCTTTTTGTATTAATATTGCTGGACAGTAAGCAGCCCCTTTCATTATGAAAACTTCAAGAAAAATTTCCTGTTGTTTCTTTGATAATTTCTTTCCTCTTGATTTTCTCTTTCCCTTTATGGAATACATATCTGTTGGACTTCGTGGATTGAACCTCCATGCTTCTGATATATCTTTTATTACTTTCTGCCAACATTATTTTCCCCTCTCAGTTGTTTAGTTTCCAAGAGCTTTTTCAGTTACCTGAATACCTTATTTCTTTTCTTTTCTTGCTTTTTGTTAGTGGTTTTTGGACATAGAATATGTCTTATCTTTTGAGAATGTTTACTATTTTTAAGTTTGTCTTGAAATTTTCTTTTGCTCCCAGAATTGTCTCTATTTCTTCAAAGTTTCTTTCTGGGTGCCAGTTTCTTGCATTAGAAGATTTTTTTCACATGTTTGGAGACTTTGTGCTGTGCAATCTATTTAAGAATGAGAGACCAGAGTGCTGACTGGAAGCCCTCTGAGCATGGACAGGGCTTGCCAACCGATGACCTTCCCTTCAGAGAGGCAGGGTAGGTTCCAGATGTTCATGTGATGCATTAGTTGGGATAAGATTTGGGTGAGTATAACAGAGTATTCAAAATAATTGATAATTGATTTATAAAATTAAAGCTTATTTCTCCCTCACATTTGGAAGCACAGATTGAAACCCAGGGCTTGTATGGCAACTCTCCACCCCTGAGGATGCAGGTAACATCCACCTGGCTGCAAGGGTTTCTCAGTGCAATGCCTCATGGTCTCCAAGTGGCTGCTCAGACTCTGATGGTTGCATCAGCATTACAGGCAGCAGAAAGGAGGATGGCAGAGAAAGGAAATTCCCAGTCTCTTTCCAGAGGCCCACATAATAGTCTGTATGCATTTTGGCAAGAAATTAAACATTGGCCACATCTAGCTATAAGAAAAACCACAAAATGTATTCTTTTAGCTGGATGTATTACTACCTCAAATGAAATTGGGGTCTTATCACAGCAAAGGCGGGGGGGAAGGTGTTAATGAGGCCATTAGTGACCTCTGCCATGTTGACATTTTTACCCTGTCAGTATCTATAAATCTTCTTTCTTGGGCTGTTAAATTTCTCCAGAGAAGACTTCTCCAATTTCCAATTATTTGAATCTCCCATCGTGGAAAATGTAGAAGATGCCTCTGGCTTTCTGTTTCCAACCCATCGCATTATCCTAGAGCCAACCTATGCAGGAGGGAACTGAAGGTTGAATGCGTCAGCCTCCCATCCCTTCCAGATCTGAACAATTGAACAGTGTTGGGTAGGCTTCTCAGGAGGTGCAACTGACATCGAGCCCTGTTGCCCATTGTAGAAGCCTCAACAGCGCCCTTGTATTGACTTTTCTCCCCTCTAACTCATTCTGTCTGCCTCCCCACTCTTGCTTCCTGGGAACATATCCCCAGTCAAATAACTGCACCAAGGGCTGGACTTAGGCTTTGCTTTCAAAGAAATTTAACCCAAGATAAAAATAATCTCATTATTTAAGTTCTAAGCCTAGATTCTTGGAGCTCTTGTATTCATATAAAACCTCAGTGTAATGGACAGAAAATACCGCATATCATTAAGAAGATAACTTTTAAAAAAAAGGAGTAATTTTTGAATTCTTTGTTTCATTTCACATTGGTGTTCACATCCTAGGACTCTGAAATACAGTTAAAGAAATAATAAGAACTCAGTTCTCATCTCAAAAATGTGTATATAGATGAGGTTTGGGACAAGAACCTAGCATAACTAGCTAGCACACCTAGCAGGTGTTCCGAATCTCCCATCTTCATGCTTGTAAAAATGGACATAAGAAGTCTCTGAAATTATGATAGTCTGAAATTGACTCTAATATTAAAAATGAAATACTCTGTTCTTACATTCTTTTGCATTTGTTAGACTGATACAATGAATTACTTTTATCTCTCACTTTCCCTAGCACAGTACCTGAGAAAGGTAGGTGATTATTTATTGTTGAATAAATGAATGAATGAATGAAATGATACTATATCCTATCCTCATAAAATAAGTTGAGAAAAAATATGCTAACATATTTGAGGAATCTGTAAAGGAAGTTGAATATTTATAAAATATTTTATAAGTGGAAATAGTACCTAAAAATTCATGTCAGTGTTATAATTCTGACAAGAAAATAAATGGTTGCAAATATACTGAAACTTGCTATTTGTTTTTATACTTTGTATGAAATATGAATATGAATATTTCTTAAGAAATTATAGATCACAAGCCAGTCATTTATTTATTTTGAACTTATTTAATAAATTTTGAACCAAAGTAAGGTACCAAATTACTAAATTAATTACCTGTGAGATTTAAAAACTAACAGAAAAAGAAGATAGAATGTGTTAGTAATAAATATATCTTAAAATTCATTTAATATATAATAAGCTGCATTATATTCTAACAACTGCAAATATGACATTATAATGATTTTGATGTTTGTATTAGTCATTATGGTCTCAGAATCCTATGGTTCCTGACAGAAAAGAACCACTATCAAATGTATACATCTCAGCTTAGTTTATTTAGTTTAATGAGATTCATTGAATTTTGTACCCAGCACTGTTTTTGTGGTAAATTCCACTTATGAGTAGAGTGTGCCCACCTGAGTATTCCTGGAAAAGAAGAAATGAGGAACAGATCCAAACACAACACATTTGCTTGGACTCTAAGAGGACAGAGCAGGGAAGAGACAGAAGAGAAAGTGGTACCTCCTCTTTTTGCCCCTTTTCGGGGAAGATGACAATACTCTTTATTGAGGGTTCAATTTTGTCATTTGGTGTTGGTTTTCTTAAGTGCAGACATATTGTATTAGCCGGTAGATGTCCGGCTACCGTAAGGAAGGGCTGCCATAAGGAAGTATCATAGACTTGGTGGCTTAAAGAACCCAGTTTATTCTATCTCAGTTCTGGAAGCCACAAGTCTAAAACCAAGGCATTGGGAGGATAAAATTCTTTTCTCTGAAGGTTCTAGGAAAGAACCTTCCTTGCCCCTCAAGCTTCTGGTGGTTGCTGGCCATTCTTGGCTTGTAGTTGCATCATTCCCATGTCTGTCCATCATTCCCATGGACAAAGACATGTCCACTACATGTCTGTGTTGTTCTTCTTCTTACAAGGACATTGGTCCCTACATCCACCCTGCAGTGGAACCTCATTTTAACTAATTGCATCTTCAAAGACTCTACTTCCAAATTGAGTATATTCATAGTACCTAGGATTAGGACCTCAACCTTTCTTGGGGGGATACAATTCAAGGCACAACATAGCTCAACAATATTTTTTTTCCAAGAGTGGAAAATAGCACCACATTTTCAGTAAAGGCAAGAGGTGCTGTTGATGTTGTTTATGGTCTCTAAGTCTCACCAAAACCAGTGCTGAATTGTATGTAGCAGATTTGCTTAAGATATGTTTAAGACTTAGGTATAGATGAGCATTTTAGAAGCTAGGTAAGCAAGTGAAGAAATAGTGAATAGTCAGGTGACAAGGAAGGCTTCATTTCCTCTCTTGAGATGGAATCCATACGAACTCAATCAGCCCTGGAGACAATGGGATGCTCCAAATGTATTTTCACTGACGGCAGGTCCAATGAAGACAGTGAGAGCAAATGACATTACTTATTGTTGAGAAAAGTATAAACAGGAGAGAAGAAAATGGATATGCAAACTAGGCTTTCCTTCCACATGCAGAAAGTGGATGCAACATGTGTGACTCTGCTTCAGCTTTATCTACAGTTGAGCCATCTGTTGGTTCTATCAACCCTAATAACCTCATGAGCACCAAGATCAAATGCATAATATCTTGGTCCACTGAAGAAAAGGAAGACGTCTGTGAAAAAAATAAATAAATAATGTATTCAATTAGCTGGTAAATCTCAGATATTTTTCAACTGACGACACCCCATGCCTGTTCCAATAAAACATTTAAATGCAAATGTGCTATTTTAAAAATGTAAACAAATTTATTATTAGTTTTTTTTTTTCTACTCACAATTCTGCTGGAAAACTGCATCAACTGTGCTTTCTATTCCTGGAAAGATACTTGCTATGCTTTTGGGGTAACCTGGTTCCATGGAGTGTCTTTGGTTATCATATCTGATGAAAAAATAATGTCCCATGTTGTAAAACCAGTATAGTATATAGCGACAATAATTTTCTTTAAAGTGCATATACTCTACAAAGTGTCTTCACACCTACTTCCTCATTCAGTCTTCATAATGTCTTATTTCCTGGGCCTAAGGATGGTGAACTTCTCTACCTAAGGGTATGTTCTATTTATAAAATATGTGGGTAGCATCAACACTAAAACAGGCATCTGATGGGTAGCACAAATTGTTTTCCAAAGGAAGGGTTTCTATTTTCTGAAGATTTCCTTAATGGGTGCATAGTCAGTCTCTCTCCCTTCCCCTCTGCCCCCTACCCTCTCTGAATAGTGAGATAATAAGTTCCATGTGGCACCACATTCTGTAAACTACCTGAATAGCATTTTCTTGAGTGTGTTAGAATTCAACTCCTAACTTTCTTTGCATTTCATCCTGGTGTGTTATTAAGATTTGTTCTATTTCCTGACATAGAATTGTCAGTACCATTGGGAAGGCTTTTAAATTTTATAAAATTACACTTTCAAAATCCATGGCAACACTGAGCATTTTGCCAAGAAGAATGCCCACCAAAGATCTCCTGAGTATATTAAAGCCATCGCATGGCAGGGTGTTGGTGGTCTGTAGATACATTTCGATCTCCAGCTGAAATAGTAGTTTGCCTTACCTCCAGACTTGGTCATTTACAAAGAAGTAGGTTTTTCTCCTGTAGTAAACAGCTGCATCGATGGCTTGGACGCTGCTTGGGAAGCCATAGTCTGAGATATCCTTGGGATAACCTTGCTTGATATCATAGCCACTCAGAGCCCAGTACTGCCTGCCTGCCAACGAGTCAGGTCACAGATCAGATACGGTTCTTCTGTTCCTATGACATGATATGCTACCACTTCTTAGTCTTTGTGTAAATTCACCACAGAAACAACAATGGAACAAGAGCCTTTAAAAGACTATGGTGGTCAAGTTCAGTTCATGGACTGGAAGAGCTCTCACGGTCCCAGCACCTGAACAAGTTCCGCTTCTTAGCCAGGCATGTCCGGCCCCACAGCTGGGGGACTATCTCATGTTGTGAGCCTCCTATGCAGAGACGATATTCCAGCTGTGGGGACTCATAGGCTGTCATACCTGGGTGGAGGAACACTACAGGTGTTCTCATTCTGTAGATGGGCCAACAGGGCTGAGGAGGGAAGACCTGCTCAAGTTAACATGGCAGAGAGTGGCGGGGACCCCACCAAGCCCGCTCTCCTGACCGCGTCCAGCCAGCACTAACATGCTCTCCTCGGCTCACCTCCCCTCACTCTGGAAGCCTCCCCCTTGCTTCAGGGACAACTAAAACAGGATGAGAATCATAGGCAATTACCTTTAAACAGGAAAACGAGGTCCTTGTCCACATCCTCATAGGCCGCCTGTATACCGTCAGGCAAGGATGGCCAGAACAGAGAGATGAAGTTGAGGTCCACTCTTGGCAGCTGTGGGTGCCTCCTCCAGAAGTACCTAGCAGAGCAAAAGGGAGGAGGGCACACAGGACATGTGAGTGGGCGGCCCCTCTGGGTGCTGCGCCACTGCCCACCCGGCCAGACCCCCGGGATGGTGGGACAATGCCACCGAACCGCTTGTGAGCATCATAGCCAACATGCAGCCAGGGCTCTATGGTGAAGCTGGGTACTTGGCAGTTTTTAGAGGAGGTCCTGGGAGTGACCTTCTGTGATTATGTCTGTCCTGTCATCCTCACGCCCTGACAAGTCTCACTGGTGTTCCTACAAAATGCTGAGACTTTTAGAATATTCCAGCAAAAGCAATAGGAGTAAATCTGGCCCCGATCACACAATCACAAGTGGCCAATGGAAAATTGAAAAATCCAACCAGTGAAATGACTCACCCCCCTCACCGCAGCTTATCCCAGGATAGTCTCTTTTACTGGACTGAATGTGGATGGGACTGGATGATGTTTCTGTGTCCGGGAAACCCGTGTGTGGCATTCTTGAGCAGCTGGACCCATGTCTGTTATGCTATCACTTACATCTGAATGTTTATGTGTGTTTGAGGTTTTTTTTTTTTTTTTTTTTTTTCCTGGATGTTTTGAGTTACCCAGAAAACACAATCTATTGCAATGAGGTGCACAAGCCCAGAATTTGAAGGAAAAGCTGAGTGATGTGTAATATGGGGTTTGATTAGAATCCAGTTCTAAGTTATGCCAGTAAATTAAGATAAAGGAAGAAATAGTTCAATCTTATACTTGTCTTTAAAGAATAGTATTTCTCCACGGAGTGTGGCGATAGCATCAAATGTCAGTCTGGGGTCACAAGTTGTGGGTGTGCTTGGTCCAGTTGGTTGGACAGGGTTGCTTGAAGGACCTCAAAAAAAAAAAAAAAAGAAAAGAGAAGAAAGAAAAGAAAGAAAATCTTTTTATAAGTTTAAGTCTAGTGTGACTCCTGGAGTACCTGGGCTCTTCCAGGTATGGGAAGGGTTTTCGCAAGACGAAAATTCTATCAGCCGATCCCACAAGGTTTTAGACTCTCTTAACCTCATTATTATCATTTCAAATAAGAGAGGTGATTTCTGGAGATAAGTGCAGGTTATGTTGTGAAGGAAAATAATTTGAATTCTGTGCATCCTCCTCCCCTCCCTGTACTTTAAAATCCTAATTCTGTCCTGTCCCGTTTCTTGGTTCCTCCTGGATTTCTGTCCCTTGGTATCCACTCCCAGCTGTCTCACCAACACCCAACTTCAGGAAAGGAACCAATGTTCATCTTTTGTCCTATAGCATAAATCTAAGCCAAATGTTAGCAATTTTTTTCCTGTAGGTATTTGCGTATATTCATATATATTCATGTGTTTTTTCATTGTTGAATGAATGGCTAGGCTAATAGCTAAGAGAATGTAAAATGTGGAGGGAAAAAGAAGGAGGTTTTTTCAGGGTGAAAGGAGTCAGGAAAGAGAGGAAGCTACTGTGAGTCTCATTGTTCTGGAAAGTTCTATCGTCATAAGGAAGCCCCGAGTTGTTGTGCTGGTATGCTTGGTTCTCTGGTGCTCTCCCAATTCTCCTCCCTCCACAGGGACCTAGAGACGCTCCAACATTCTCTTGGGTGCCCTGTTCTTATGGCCTTTGGGGCCAGGAGGGCAGGGGGAGGGACACATGATGGTCCCTACTTGTCTCAGAGCCGAGGCCTCCATCTCCCTCCCTGAAGAGCATAAGCCACATCTTTAAGAAACGCTCTTTTCCTGCATCCTCCGTTCCCACCCCCCTCCCTCCTCTACAGACAACAGTTCTATTACCTGCAATATGTATCTTCTGCTTAGCATGTTTCTTGACATGCCTTGCTTTGCCTACATGCATCTGATATTTGTGGAATCAAATACTGTGTAATTTAAACACAGTATAATATGTATTATTATCTTGTTTCTTTTCTACGAAGCAGAATGTTTTAAAGACTCTTCTATGTGGTTGTCACCTGTACATCTAATTCAGTGGTGTCCCCACTGAGTGTTACTCTGTGGTGTGCACCTGCCACCTTTGACAGACCCCAGACAGACCCCTGGGTACCCTCCAACTTCCACTACCATGGACAAGACTGCAAAGAACATCCCAGATATGCCCACACCTCACCATGTACTCAAGGTTCTTCCCACGCTCTTACCGTAGATGGCCTGAATGCCATTGATGTCATCTTGAGGGAGGGTATAGGTGCTGGGGTCGTGGAAAACATAGTTGGGATACATCAAGGCACCAGGGTCAGTGGAATGAGAGAGCCCCAAGGAATGGCCAAATTCATGGGCAGCAACAAGAAACAAATTGTAATCTGAAACACAAGCATGCATGGTGAGTGGCTTCAAGTGGATCCAAGGGTGGAGACAGTGGAACCTTAAGGACTGTAGCTTCTAAGCTAACAGTGCTGGAGAAACTACATTTTCCACACCTGTCTTTTTCATTTTCCCTTCCCTGGGTGTGGACCTGAGGCTGAGAGGAGGGATGACAGGGCCGCCATGGTCTTAGGATGCCCCACAGCCCTCTCCAGCCTCCCAGGCCCTCAGCCCCTTGAGTAGAGCCTCAGCACACAGGTAGTTAGAGAAGAAACATGCCGGGCTGTGTGTAGCCTCAGGTGCAAATGGACTTGCTTTCCCTCCCTGGTCACCCATCAGCCAGCACCAACTCCTTCTTGATTCTGAGTTCTCAAAGCAGCTTCAAGGACTCTCCACCTTCCCCCTTGTTTGAAAGAGAAAAACCCTGCTCCTTCTGCCATCTTTAACTTCCAGGAGCAGTGCTTTTCCCAGATGGGAACCCCCTTCCCAGGCTCACACTTCCATCAGATGGAGCCCTTACAACTTGGCCAAGTCCAAGGACCTTCCCTTGCCCAGCAGACACCTGAGGGCTTGACTTGCCTCATTCTGGTCATCCCATAAACACACCATGCATTTTCTTACATGTCCCCCTTAACAAAAAAGAGTACTTTCTATATGCTGGGACGTGTAATATTATTCAGTCCTCACAACATTGGTGTGAAGTATCATTAGAAATATTTTTACAGTAAAGGAACTGAAGCCCATGGATTTTGGATACCTCTTTAAAGGTCTTACAACTGATAAGTGGTACAGCTGAGGTCAAATCCAGGTTGATGGCATGACCTGTGCTCAGACGAGAGCGTTCAACTTCCTATTTATAATTAGCCTCATGAAATTCTATCCATGCTCCTAGACCCTTTCTCTTGATCATCACATCCTTGCATTTTTTGCATTCCTGAATACATCTCAGAAGACATTTTTTGAGGGCCTGGAGTAGGTTGTGAGGGGCTCTGGGGGTTCTTTCATGAAGCACAGTTGAGAGAGGGAGATGTACGCCAACAACGTGAATGGCACAGCACAATGAGGAGAGCAGTTAGAGAAAGAGAAACAAAGGCTGTTGGCATTCTGAGGAGAAAGTCCCCATTTCTGCTGGAAGTCAAGACGGGGAAGCAAGCATATGGCAGAGCAGAGAAAGAGATTTTGAAAGGAGGAACCTGGGGTGTAACGTGAGCGAATGTAGGGAGGTTGGGAATGCATGGTGTGATGTAGGAACAGTGAATGTGCAATATGGCTTCTGCGTGTGAAACAGGAAGACAGGTGTTAAAGATGAGTTTGCAAACGAACAAGAGCCTTGAATGCCAAGGAGAGGAATTTGAGTATTACGTGGTCCAGAAATGTAACACCTGGATTTTAAGCAGGAGGGTAACATAATCTGAGATGGACTTCCCAAATGTAAATTTTGCTGGCATGCTGGGAAAACTTCAAGGTAGGAGAGATTGGAGGTTGACAGTCCAGGTGGGAATTTGGATCATTTAGTTCAAGTAAGAGGTGACGACCACATGGACCAGTGGGGAGGGCAACAAAGATCCAAAGTAGTGGAGAGAGCTATTTATCTTTGGGTTCACACAGCTCCCAGTACAGGGACTTGGGTGAAATAAACACAATGTATATGTTGAGAAAATGGTGGGAGGAGCAGATCCCAAGCAAAGATAAAAGTTTTCTTTCTTGTTTTCTACGGTGTTCTGTGGCATATTGCTGCCCAGTGGCCTTGTGAAGTTCCACCTGGCCTGGATATTCCTTACTCATCCCCATTTCTTCCCTTCAGGTCTTCTCCTGAAAGGAGTGGTTTATCCCATAAGAGCAACCACCGAGAAAGAGCTCCCTGAAGATGAAATAACTCGACCAAAAGGACAGTGACTGTTTTCTAAGTGGAATAGTTTTCTAAATGAACCTGATTATTTCTGAATTTTCAAAAATAAGGACCTTCTCCATACATCATGAAATTTCAGAATATTTAAAAAAAAAAACGTATACCCTAAAGTAGTGGTCAGCAAACTTCTTCTGTGAAGGTTTAGATGGTAAGTAGTTCAGGCTTCGTGAGCCATGTGGTTTCCATAGCAAGTACTTAGCTCTGCTGTTGTACCGTGAGAATAGCCATAGACAATACATAAGCAAGTAAAGGTGGCTGTTTCAATAAAACTTTATTTATACAAACAGGACCAGGCAGGATTTAGCCATAGTCTGTAGATTTCTGATTTCTGCCCTAGGAAAACACGGTCAGTAATTAGCCTTAGGACTTTTTTGAAACCTGAATTGACTTAGTATTATGAGGTAGCAAAAATTTAAAGTGGTCAGCTTGTGTGAGTTTGAAATGTTAGCAGAATTTTTGTGTGTGTGTCCAAGGGGAGTTTCTTATGTGAGAAACACATATTTAGAAGCTGCCTGTTGACATGACTTTGGTTGACTTACTGCTAGAATTTTCAGTCCACGTTTCTTCTGCATCGAAGTGAGCATCTCCTCCAATACCTTGACCCGGCTGAAAGGCATGAGCGAGGATTCCATTGGGTCCGTCAAATGGCGAATTGTCACCATGATCTGAAATAGAGCAGTCTGCATGGGGTGCCCGCGGAGTCTCAGCTCAGCCAGGAAAAGCAAGTATGAGCACCACAGCTGCAAGCCCACCTCCTTGGACGAAAGCGATCCTGATGTCTGCTTCTCCCTGTGAGACCTTGGTGAAGGTCAGGGGTGATACATTACTCCATACTTGAAAGGCTTTCTGAATAGCTGTCTCCACACTGGCCTCTGACAACTGTGGGGTGTACTTAATAATCCTTCAAATGAGAAAACGGGAGAAGGATTCATTATGGTTTAGAAGAGCCGCCCATCAGCAGACCAAGCTTCTCCATTTAGGAGTGAGTGGTCTATGCCGAGCTGCCCCTGGAGAGGGTCTGCGAGCAGTTGCAGGACTCAGGGCTGCAGACATATGTGGCTTCTGGGCAGCTCACTCCTTATCTTTAAATCTAAAGCATTTCTTTATTCATAAAATGATCATAAAATAGTAGCCCTCTCATAGGGTGGTTGTGGGGATTAAGTATGTGTGAAACGTGCAGCTCAGTACTGGGCAAATCAGAGTGTTGAACAGATACTGGGGATCATTACTGTCATCATCAAGATGCAGGGAGGTGGGGCTATAGTCTCTTCAGCAATGAGCGAGCCTCGTTTGAGTCCTAAATGGAATTCATAGAGAGGCAGCCTAATGTTGCCATCATCCTTTTGAGATTGCTGGAGAAGGACAAGAATATCAGGCTGTGGGGTAAGGAGGCCTGTGAGGTCTTTCACACAAGACTCTGGGCTCTTCAGGGCAGGGACACCTGTCTCCCCTGCATCCCACATCCTGGGACTGTGCCTGGCACATCACACATGCTCCATAAACACCCCCATCAGATTCTGGGTCCCAGGAGCCATCACCTGTAGGTCAGGTTAGTTTGTTTCCACTTGGGGTTCCCTGGGGTTAACATAAAATCACCGCTGTCGGGCACTCCACAGCGAGGCTTCTGCATCATCTCCAGGGTCTCCTGATTGGGCTTCCCCGTCTCGTTCAACCCAAAGAATCGCTGCATCTCTCTGAGCTTTTCCATAATCACACTGGTGCTGTTCTTCCTCTCAGACCGGAATCTGTTCCTGGGTAACTGGTAGAACTTTTCTAGGTAGTCCTGGGCAAAGACAAATATGGGAGGGGACTGGCTGTGTCATTCCTGCAGTTCTCTGGGCATTCTGTATCCTCTCTAAGTCACTGCAGACTTTTGACAGACTAACACCCTGAGAGACGAGCAAACACATGGATTTGGGGGTCGACTTTGAGGGAACAGGGACGATGGGCCAGAACAGCCCCCTTACTTCCAGTGTTCCAGTTAGTGTTTATACATGAAAGCAGGTATTTCATAAGGGATGAAGCCCAAGTCCCCATGCAAAGTGCTAGTACACAGTCGGGGGACTGGCTCCTTTTATAAAAAATAAATAGCACTGGCTACTGATTTCTTGAGGTATTAATTGCATCAATGAAAATTCTCTTTTAATTATCTTTCCAATACTATGGAGAAGATGTAATCATCCTAAGACACGGGTGTGCACAGATGGAAGGAAATTGCCAAGATGACAACTCAGATCCCAGACCTCCCTGGTGCTTCTCAAATGAGAACTGAAAATTTCACAAGAAGAACTGCAAACTGGGTTTGGGGTAACAGCGCCATCCTTGACATTAGCCATTTACTCACCACAGCTCCTCTGGAAGGGACTGACGCTTCTGAGGAAACCAGTTCTGAGGCTTCTCTCAACCTAAGCAGCCCAGGAACACCTTCCACTTGGCAAGGGACACAAGACAGAGCACTTTTGTGCTTTTACTGGATTCAGAGAGGCTTGGGTTCAAATCTCAGCTCTGCCACAGATTAACTGAATTTTTGGACATGTCATTTAACTGATTCACTTTGGTCTCTAAAGTGGGAATAATAACAGCTGATCCCAGGAATGCCATGAGGACGACTCAAATGCTCAGTCATGCACAGAGTCAAGGCTCACGGGGCTCCAGCCTCTAGCCCAGGGTAGATCACTGTAGGGGATATGTAAGAAGAAAGGAAAAGGAAAAAAAACAAAAAGAATACTACTTTTCTATAACTGCAAAGCTAAGGAAATCGTGTGCAACAAATTCTCTGACAGCGTTCTCTGGTGCTTCTTCAAAATTTGGCCTGACTTTCCTACAATGGAAAGTAACCGTTGGTTTTGCTTCATAAACGTTTATATACATAATCAGATGTAGGAAATCTCACTGCACCACAAACTGACTTCTAGTTCCTTCTAATCTCCCGTCCTTGTGGTCTCTGGTCCACCTGAGATTTCTGGCTTCAGAGACAAGTCCATAGAGACGGCACCAGACAGGGTGACTGGGGTGCCTATAATGGCTGAGGAAAATCTTAGGTGAGTCAGAAAGAAAATCCCCTACTTTTATAATTAAGACCATTCCTTCTGAACGGGATCCCTGGCTGGGGGCAGCTCGACAGCAGTATCTTCCCAGAGTTCAAAGAGCCCAGCGAGGAACCCTCTGGACTCCTGATGTTTGAGCCCAAACTAAACATCCATATAACTCCTTTCAGGCTGATTTAACTAAAAAGAAGAAACAACCCACACAGTTTCCTTAGAACCAGCACGTCCGTCAACCACCACCTGCTGGAGGGTGGGTTTACCTGAACAACTCGTGTGCTCTTCTCTTCTGGGGACTCCCCTCGAACTGGAAAGGTGTGTGAGAGCTGCACGCAGAGCAGGAGCAGAAGTGGGAGCTTCCTCAGGTCCAATGTGGCCTTATCTGCAAACGCTGCCATCCTGGCCTTCCTCTCCTGGGTCCCTCAGGGTTGCCGGGTCCCGTGTCACTCACTACTCTCTCTTCTGGCCCCTTATAAAAGCCATGTCTTGAACAATTGCCACACATCAGGAATGTGAAGTAACGCAGGTTATTTACGCTCTGACACTGTTGCGACGTTCTAATGTGATTTAGTATTCCTCAACAGGGGGCGGGGGATCTTTCGACAGAAAAAAATAGTGCAATTTGCTATTCTTTGCTCTTAGGATTTTGGTTAGAGATTTACTTTTGCAAAGCTGTCTGATGTAGGAGAAGGCTTGGAGAATTGCTCCAGAGGGTAATAACCAGCACTTGGCTGTGGGTTTGCATTTTCTAGGTGGGAAGGTGCAGAGGCTGTATTAGCTCATGCAGGCACCTTGTTGGGTTAGCGTCATTATCCTGGTACCACGGAGCCCGGTTAGAGGAGCCCTGTACTCAGCCACCCTTGCTGGGAGGACCGTGTGCCTGGGACTGTGGTTGCCATGCAGGGTTTGCATAGGGGTCCTAGAGCAGCTTCTGGAGGATGTGGTTTTGGCATCAGTGTAGTAGAGAAACCTATGTACTGTGTAATCAGTGTAGTAGAGAAAATCCAGATTGCACAGGCTGCAATGGGAAGGACGAAGACAGCAATGCTGACACTGATAATAACAATCTAATATTTATTATTATTTATTATTAATTATTATTTATTATGTCCCCAACATCCACTCTGTACATATATTATGGCAGGATGCTAGTGTTTCTGCATTTTGCAAATGAAATAAAATCCAGGGAAGTAAGAGGATTTGTGCAAGTCACATGTTAAGTGGTGGGGGGAGGCTAAGATTCGGTCGCAGAGAGCCTGAGCTGATGGCTACTCCATCTGGCCACATTAAACCCTCCCATGATGGAGCAGGGACACTGACTGGTGCTCACAGAGGAGGAATGAGAGGTGGTGTATGTGCCCCTGGGGAAAAGGCCTCGGGAGAGGGTTTTCAGACCAGGTGACCATACAGGCCAGGGGCCCAGAGGCATGTTCTAAAATCATGTCACCTGTTTCACCTATTCTGACTCTATGTGTGTGAGATGAGGTCACGATGCATATATTTGTATATGCTCACTTATGTGTATTTATATATTCTGCAAGGACAGGTATTTTGTGTATAAATGTTTGCATCAATGTGTGTGATCCAGGACATGTGTTAGTATGTAAATAATGTTTTTGTTTGAGATGCTATGGTAAAGACTTCAGGTCCTCCTAAGGTTTCTCACAAGCTTTGTAAAAATCCCAAAAAAAACATGTCTAGGGTTAGAGCATATCTGGGCAGCAGATTAATATTCACGATATAGATTCCTGCATTCACACAAACATTTGCTGCCACCTACCACGTGCCAGGTGCTGTGATGGGTACTAGCTTATTAGAGATAAGTTAATAGCAGTAGATGAAATGCTACAGCAGTGTGGAGGAAAAAGCAATTGTGGAGGGAGGCACAATCAAGGAAGGCTACATGGAGGAGGCCGACATTGAGCTGGACCTTGGAGGGGAAATAGAATGTGGATATGCAGAGATGTGACAATGCATTCCTTGTATGCACAGGGAAGCTGCCCACCCCCAGGCTGTTCAAGCTGTCCTGAGGTCATGATCATGCCAACCATCCCTGGGGCACAACTTAATCATGCTGTGGCTTCCTCCACATTAGGTCTTTAGTGAGAAAATCTTTTTTTTTACTGAATAAGAATGACTTCACATTGGTCTAGCCTATGGAGATGACACATTGGTTTATGCACAAGGTTCATGAAGGTACTTTCTCCTGAATGTAATATAAGTGATTTAGACAAGGATCCAAACCTGGTGGTGTCTGTGTAATGCTGTGTTAAATATAACCTGAATGAATGAAATGAATGAAAACAGAAGCACCATGTGCTCCAGTAATCCACTTCTGGGTATTGACCAACGGGGAACAACAAGACCACACTTGCAGACGTTTACTGCAGCATGGGTTTACTGCGAGGGCTGGAAGCCACCTGCACCCATCCAGAGGTGGTAAGGAAGATATGGAGTGTGCACAAGGATACTACAGAGCCACAACAAGAGTGAGACCTCGCTATGGTGACAACGTGGCTGGATGCGCTTCCATGCCATTTCCCTCTGTGCCCGGCGCTCAGTGCAACCGGACACACTTGGGTGAGTCAGACACCCCTGGGCAGAGCACCGGCGGTCACGGTAAAATCACAGCAGCAGCAGGGCTGGCCGTACGCTGTTGGGGGAACTGCACATGTGCGCAAAGCGTCTGGACCAGGTCCCTTCGGCCCCACAGCAGCCCGAGGACTGCTGGTTATTATCTGCATCTTTAAGGTAATGAGAATAAGGTTTGTAGAGCCCATCAAACATATCCTCCTATCGATCCTTCTGGGTGTGCCCTTTGCTGGCTCAGGGAGGAAAAATTCAAAACAAGACCACGGCTCTGCATCTTGGCTCTTCATCAGAATCTGGATTAAAGACAGATAAACGGGCTCCGCTCCAACCGCTGAGTCAGAATCTCTGGAGTGGCACCTGGGCCCACATGGTGCCAGCAGGACTGAGGGGCTCTGCTGCAAAAGATGGTGAACGGAGGACACAGGCCACGGCGGCGTAGGACAAGGAACAGTCTCATCCTCCCAGGGGAGCCCATGAAGCCTGCCTGCAGCTGAATTCTGGACGGTGATGGATTTGGCACAGAGATCGGGGTGAATGAGTGTGTGGGCATCCCCAAGGCTCTCACACGGAGCAGCAGGCAGGGCAGGGAGCTGGAGGCAGACAGCGGAGGGACGGCAGCGCCGTGAGCAGGGCCCCGGGCAGCCGTCACTGAGTCAGTACAGCCGACCCTGGCCGCAGCGTCTGGGGCAGACCTGTGGGGAGGAGCGGGCAGGAGAACAGGGGGTCGGGGTCTGGTCGAGAGCTGGTCTTCACCGGCAGCCACAAGTCCTCCCCCACGACGAGGAGACCCAGCCGTCCTTGCGTGAGTCGGATGGGGAAGACAGGAGGACCGAGGCAGCACGGGCCGTCTGCGGGGGCGGCCCCCACGTCGCACACCTGCCGACCAAGTGGGGGCTCCTGTCCTGTGGGTGGAGCAGGTCCAGCAGGCAGCTGAGGCCAGAGGAGCAGGTGTGGCGGCCCCAGCGCGGGCGAGCAGGAGTGGACGGGGGGGGGCGGGGCACGGGCAGGGCAGGAGAAGCGTCTGTGACCGCAGTGTCCCCTGCTGCAAGCTGTCGGAGGCTCCCAGGCTGGGCTCCCGGGCTGGGCTCCCGGGGCGGACACGCCCACAGGCCATCCCCAGGCCCCGGGAGCTGCGGGGCTGCAGCTG